TTTGAACTTGTCTTTAGAAACGTTCGCCTGGAAGCCACAATTAAGTACTGAGACAAAGAAATCCAAGAAGCAGTATAAGTCTTGACGAAGATATGCAAATTTCTGCTTGCAACTGATTTCAATCCGTGTCAAAAACGTGCACAGAGTGATTTTGGAACGGCTTATCAGTCAGCCCATGTGCCAAATTAGTTGGATAAACAGCCAATGTCAATAGATAAGTCAAGTGTTAAAAATGGGTTAAAGCGTGAGGGTCGTCACCTGCGCACGCGCGAGAATTCAGTTCCAAGCGACGATAACAACACACGCTAAACAAGCAATGGCTCATGGGTAGACGCTTGTTTATAAACAATGACACGCTATGACCATCTTTATGTTTGCCACATAAAGTGTTGACTGTTCTCTTTCTTGGCTCCCACCCCGCCTGTTCTGTCAACTCTTTCAAGAATGATTATCGAGACAGTTCATTAAAAGAGGCAATGCTAACTTCTTTGAACAGAGAGATGGGAAGCGGGAAATATATTGATCTTATAAAATAACGACGCCTAAGCCACGTCGATCTGGTAAATTTTGACATCAAAATTAGTCTCAATCAGTGTTTCAATTAAGGTATTTTCACAAACAAATATTTCCGAGTAATAGAGGGCGATATGCACTGACAAAAATCGGACAGGGCATGACATATAATACTAATTTATTGGGCTTCAGAAATAAAGACAAATGTTAAATTTAGTACAATTGCCGAAGCGAATCAATAAATTCTACCGTGAGTATTATTGAAGAGTAATTCGAAATTGTGATTAGGTATGTAACATATTTTATATTCCTGTATTTGTCGATATAAACTTCTCACCGAAATCGAAACGTCTTAATCAGTTGTGTTGAAACATTTTCGGAAGTTCCAGTTCTCGCCATAACTGAAATACAGTCCTTTGCACGTCACCCCTGAGCCATTTTTTTTCCGCGATACCCAAATTAACATAGAGTAAAACACATTTATGAAAGAGCTGTTCATGCATTGATAAATCACATAAGAGCCCAACAAGCCCAAGTAGGATTTAGATCGTGTTATAATCCAAATTTACCTTGGAAGAGTTGTAAACAGAAATTCTCATATGAAGTAGTAACGCTTTATTAGGTTTCGTGTTTAAGGTATACATTTGTTTACAAACAATAATTTGAATAATACTCGATATCATAATAATAGCAACATATCTCTAATTAATAAAACTAATGTTAATTTTATTAACGCGTATATATTTTGTTTTTAATGTTTGTGTTTTGTTATACCTAGGCATTGTGCGTGCAGTTGGTAATATTATATTCGACACGCAAGTGACGATAGA